TCTGCAATGAACACCCACGGAAGCAGCAGTCAGGAAATCAAACTACGGCTTGCATTGCACAAATCTGCTGCAAAGACCTCTTTGAAGTGTTAAAAAGCAAAGCTGTCACTTTGACGACTAAGGTGCGCCTAACCCAAACCATAATCTTTTCAATCACCTCCTGTGCATGCGAGAGCTGCACAATGAATAAGAAAGACCGAAGAAGAATTGATGCCTTTGAACTGTGGTGTTGGCAAAGAATATTGAATATCCCATGGACTGCCAGAAGAACCAATAAATCAGTTTTGGAAGAAGTACAGCCAGAATGCTCCTTAGAAGCAAAGATGGCAAGGCTTGCTCTTGCTTACTTTAGACTCGTCATGAGGCAAAACCCAACGCTAGAAAAGTACATAATGCTCTACAACTATAAGAAGCGTTTTTATAACTGAGTTTTCCTATACAGGAACATATAGGCCTTTTCATATGCAACATTTTTGGTATCCTGCTATAGTGCTTTAAAGTGAGGGGCAGTTCATATATTTTATTTCAATTGCATATATACATATCATATATTCTTTAATTAGGATTTTTTTCCTATTCTCTTTCATAATGTGGGTCAGTTTCTTAAATCATATCTTCTGATTGTTTTATGTAAAAAAAATGCAATTGATTTGATGTATTAACATTTTCCCCATTTAACGTGCTTAGTTATCTTATTGTTTATAATAGTTTTTCAAGCGATTCTCTTGGATTTTGCAGGTATTCAATACTATCGTTACAGCTGGAGGTACTTTATCTTTTCTTTTCCAATTTGTTTTTAAATAAACATTATTTTTTAGAACTATTTTAGGTTTACAGGAAAAATGAAAAGATAGTCCATAGTTCCCATTACCCAGTTTCCCCTAGTATTAATATCTTACATTAGTTATAATTAATGAATCAATATTGATACGTTATTGTTGTTGTTAGTGGCTTTTGAATTAGCCCCCGACTCATGATGACCCCGTGCTCAATGGAAAAAAATACTGCCTTGCCTGGTCCTGCGCCATCCCTGTGATCAGTTGGGATTGGACCACTGCAATCCATAAGGTTTTCACTGGCTGATTTTCAGAAGTAGATCACCAGGCCTTTCTTCCTAGTCTGTCTTAGTCTAGAAGCTCTTCTGAAACCTGTTCAGCATCATAGCAACACACATCCTCCACTGACAGATGTGCGGGTGGCTGCGCCTGAGGTGCATCGGCCAGGAGTCGAACCCAAGTCTGCTGGATGGAAGGCAAGAATTCTACCACTGAACCACCATGCCCCCTTCACTGACACATTGTCATTAGCTAATGTTCATACTTCACTTAGATGTTCTTAAGTTTTACCTAATGTCCTTTGTCCGTTCCAGAACTAATTACATTTAGTTGCCGTGTCTCAGGCGCCTCTTGGCTATGACAATCTCTCAGACTTTCCTTGTCTTATTTTATCTTTTTTACATTCACAATTTTGAGGGGTACTGATAAGGTATTTTGTACAATGTCCCTCTATTTCACTTTTTATACCTCTAATTTATTCCAGGTGCTGCAGTGGTTAAGAGCTTGGCTACTAACCAAAAGGTCGGCAGTTCCAATCCACCAGCTGCTCCTTGGAAACCCTAGGGGGTCAGTTCTCCTCTGTCCTGTAGGGTCACTATGAGTTGGAACTGACTCGACAGTACCCGACAACACCATAGCTTGGAGCTAGTACTTCTGGTATGTTGCCATATAGAAGTGGTGATAGCAGGTATTCTGGTCTCCAGAGGGTCCTGGTTTTAGCTGCAATGCTTCTGGGGTGCCCCGTCAAGCATTTTGAGCTGACATAGGTATATTTTATCATTGTCATGAAATATTATATTCCTTAACTCCTATATTTCTCTTCCTTCCCTCCTCTCATCCACCACCTAGTTATAATCAATATTATTTTACTTAGTGTTTGTCTTTGAATTGTTAAGTATGCTTATATTTGTGTGTGTGTATGTGTGTGTGTGTGTGCGCGTGTGTGGGTGGGTAGGTGGGTGTGGGTATGGTCAAGTAAGGAGCCTGGGTGGCACAGGCAGTTTGCAACTGGCTGCTAACCTAAAGGTTGGCGGTTCTAAACCACCCAGCAGCCCTGCGGAAGAAAGTCCTGGCAAACTCCTCCATAAAGGCAAGAAAAGCCGATAGAGCAGTTCTACTCTGCAACGCGTGGTGTTGCCATACTTTAGAATCGACTCGATGACAGTGGGTTTTAAGGTCCCTGGGTGGCGCAAACGGTTTGCACTCAACTACTAACCTAGAGGTCATCAGTTTAAACCCACCCAGTAGCACCACGGAAGAAAGGCCGAGCAATCTGTTTCTGTAAAGATTACAACCAAGAAAACTCTATGGAGCAGTTCTACCCTGCAACACACGGGGTCGCCGCGAGTCAGAGGCAGTGAGTTTTGTTTGTTTGTGGTCAAGTAGCGCTCCAGGGCAGCTGTTCTTCACAGCCCAGTTGCCTTCTTATTTTCTGCTGTTGCAGAGACACGCTGCTTCCTGCACGTTTGAAATCTGGCAAATCTGCCCCCTCTGACCTAAACTGGACTGACATAAGCCCTGCGCAACTCCGCTCCCGCACCTCGCGGTGCAGCGGCACCTTCAGGAAATGGATTTTTGCAGCGCTTTCTGAAGTCTGTCGCTGCCACACCCTCTGCCAACCTTCTCTTCTCTTTTTCCCGTGCAGTTTTTGTCTGATATTGGCTGATCTGACAAACCCTACCAATATCTTGAAAATTGTTTCTCTCTCTCTGAGTTTGCTTGAAAATGAAGTTTGCAAGTTTTTTTTTTTTTTTTTAATTCATCCTTCTTGCTGTTATTTTACAATTTCCCCAGAGAAGGGGAAAATGCAGACTTCTGCAGTGACGCTCATACCAAAAGTCTTAATGAAGTCATTTTTGACCCAAAGTCCACCCACTAATTTCTAGAACTAGAAGGCAGCTCAGTCAATCTTTGAACTTTGCCACATAAAGTTTTATTAGAAATATAATGGGGATTTTGAAGATAGGCTTGGTGAACTTTGTATAGTGAAATAGAAACTGAATTGCCAGCGCAGATGCTGAGAGGGGAAGGAATCCACTCATCCCTTAAAAAATAACAACTGCTTGTGTTAGACGTTTTGCTAGGCAGATAGGTGGTGGTTCCTGTTGGTGGAGTTGGTGTAATTCATGATGAGAAGATCGTTTCCCTGACCCTCAGCTTCTTGGGTAAATAAAACCAACCTTTTCTACTTTGTGAGGCTGAAATGAGTTTCAATATATGAAAGTGATTTGTGGATTTCTGATTTTCTGAAAGGGGAATTTGGAGCCATTGTAGGCTTTTTTTTTTTTTTTTTTTAAAATCTCACAGACTCATTTATTCATGCCACAAAGCAAAGGGTGCTTGTACGAACGTATAGCGATGTTCTGTCCATATCTCACATCGCTTGCTTAAATTTACAGCCAGGCTGCCGTCTCATCTGATGGGAACTCCACGTACGGCTAGTTGTGGGCAGGCGTAGGACGCAAAGCTTTCAAAGCTTGACTTCTTTTACCAGCACTCCTAATCTTACAAATGATGAAGCCCATCAAACCCAGTCCTACCCTTCATAGGGATCCAAATATTTTTCATAAGGCTTTGAAGCAGCTCCGCGCAGGACGAAAGGCTCCGGCCAGACCCAGGACCCACAGCCAACCCCACTGTAAACTCCTGGGGAGTGAAGTATTGTGCCCACACCAGTGGGTGGGGCTTGTGTCTGGTTCATTTGAGCCAAGAGAGGCGGATGATGGAGTGCTCAGTGGCTGATGGATACAGGACACAGGATGTCAGCTGCTGTGGCATGGGCAAGGGTGGAGATGGGCTATGACCGCAACAGGGAGAGAGTGGTACAGGGGTCAATGCCTCAGGGCTAGAGACAGGAAAATTATGGGGGCGAGGGTGAGACCGACTGAAGGAGAGCCTAGGAACCAAGATGCAAATGGGGCTTGAAGATTATGCCCCCTCATTTTCCCATACCTGGACTCAGTTTTCATTGATATTGTTCCCAAGAGGACCCTCCGTTAAATCTCCTGCACGCTAATCTGGGAATCTCAGAGTCTGTCCCCAAGGTGATCAGGCAGTCCCTGTTTTAGATGGGTTTCTGGAAGCAGACTCTGGGACTCAGAGATTAGCATGCAGGAGATTTAATGGAGGTCCTCTTGGGGACAACAGCTGTGAGGAAGTGAAAGAAACAGGACTGGGCAGTGGGACAAGTTGGACTTCAATGTCGTTGCAACAGAACCCATTGCCGTTGAGTTGATTCCGACTCGTAGCAAGCCTATAGTTGTAACATCTTACAGGGAGCTCGGGAGTTGGAATGGCCCTTCAGAGCTGTCCCAAATCAAGGCAAAGGGGCAGGTATTTGTGTTGTTGTTGTCAGGTGCTGTGGAGTCGGTGCTGACTCATAGTGACCCTATCTACAGCAGAACGAAACACTGCCCGGTCCTGCGCCATCCTCACAATTGTTGCTATGGTCAAGCCCATTGTTGCAGCCACTGTGTCAATCCATCTCGTCGAGGGTCTTCCTATTTTTCACTGACCCTCTACCTTACCAAGCATGATGTCCTTCTCCAGGGACTGGTTCCCCCTGATAACATGTCCAAAGTATGGGAGACAAAGACTAGCCATCCTCACTTCTAGGGAGTATTCTGGTTGTACTTCTTCCAAGACAGACTTGTTCATTCTTCTGGCAGTCCATAATTATGGTGTTGGTGAAGGTATTTGTAGCCCCTCATTATCCAGTCACTCATATGAGCTGCCCCCAGAGAAGGAAGCTCCTGAAAGGCGACTAGCTGAGAGCCGTCGGTTGCCAACCCTGCAGCGTTTCGGTACTGAAGGAGGGTGTGTGGGCAGCACACCACAGCATCCACTACAGTCTCCTAAAGCCCAGTGCAAGATGGCGGCAGCTGACTCAGGAACTCTAAACTGCTGCCTGTTGGGTCTGTAATAATTTTTCTTTGATCTCATCTTTCTTTGTTTTGCTCTTCCCCCTCCTCCCCACCCCAACATACACATATTCACTTTAACTTCATTTTCACCACACACATACACACACACAAAACAAAACAAAACAAAACAAAACAAAAAAACCCTTCTCACCACTCCCTGAACACAATGCTCTCTATAACACCCTGCCTTTTCCTGTGCTATTTCATCAGCCTTCAACGTCCTTCCTCCCTTCCATCCATCAAAACCATGCTCCCCCTGCAAGGCCCAGTTCAAAAACCAATCCTATTATGGAAGAGTGGATCAATTTCTTCTTTCCCGGGTGCCTCAGAAAACCTTGTTTGTAGCACTGTTGTCAAATCTGTCTTGCTTGGACTATAGTTAACCTCATTAGATTGTAAATTCCACAAATGCAGAATTTACTCTTTATCCCCTTTCGTCCTTCTATAACCCAGCATTCTGCTTGGCGCAAAACAGACATTCAACAACTAGGAACTAATTGTATCAAATAATTACAAACTGTTGTGAGAATTTCTTGGGGGAAATCGTAAAGGTCTGAAGACCCTCAGCATCACCATGCATTTGTTCTTCTCGTGGGAAGTGGATGGAATTTATTGAGTGCCTACTCTGGGACAGACCCAGACTCAGCTGTTTTCAATTTTTCTTAAGTAAATTCACCTAGTCTGGTTTCCCCAAGAGCTAGACATTTTGCAACAAGGAAGGGATACATCTAATGTCTGAGAAGTTACAGTTAAAACCCACCTTTGTGTAGAAATCATGCTGTCTTGTTTTCTATTTTTCTGATACTGAGTGGGAAGACACTTTTTTTTTGGTGTTCTGAGAGGGTTTTGTTTGCATGTCAGCAGAGGCTCTCAACTCACGTCCTCAGAGAATACCCCCCAACTTTGGAACAAGGAGAGCCCTGAGTGACTTGAGGCAATGGAAGACACCCACGGATGGGAGCCCTGTGGACCTCGCCTCATCATTGCTTGGCATTGTATGTGATGGGAGATAAGGGGACAATAAAACCCCTTTGGGAGTCCCTGGGAGGCGCAAAGGGTTAAGTTGCTAACCGGAAGGTGGGAGGTTCGAGTTTACCGAGAGGCACCTCAGAAGAAAGGCCTGGAGATCTACTTCTGAAAAATCAGACATTGAAAACCTTGTGGAGCACAGTTCTGCTTTGACACCCACGGGGTTGTCTTGCTTAGGAATCAGCTCCACGGCAGCTGGTGGTTTGTTTTGCCTTGTTCGTTAAACTTCTTTGGCCAGTCTTTGTCTCTTGGCGTCCTGACATTTGTCTCTCCGTGATTAAATGAATAAAATTACAAGCTCTACCAGGAAAGAGGAGGTAGCCCCCTGGTTGGGCAGATCCAAAACCACCCTTTAGCTATGACCCAGGCATAGGTGTTTTGGATTAATCATCTTATTTATTTCTTTTAATCGCTCTAAACTATAGGTGCTAATAGATGTGGGATTTGGGAGATCCTAGCATACGGCGCAGAAGTTTTCTAAGGAGACGCTGCCTAGGAACCTTGCCTTACCGCTAACTTTTATCCACACTTGTCCCCAGCTGTGCTCCTACGGCAGCGCCTTTCACAACACCAAGTACAGATCTTAACAGAGAACTCTGAGTCCTGCCTTTGGGTATGTCCGTGACATCTACGGCCTGTGGCAAAGCAATGGGAATATCTGTTGCTCAGATTCTCCTCCCTATCAAGAGATTCAAGCGAAAACATGATCAGGAAAAAAACCAAGACAAGTTTATTTTATTTCTGTAAAGGCAACAACAACTTTCCCTTTTAAAATCACTTTTCTGAAAATACATTTTCTGGAAAAGCAGTCTTTATCAACGTAGCACATGCAATAATGTGTAAACTTACAGAAGCATCTTAAACTGATTAACTCAGCTAATAGCTTGCAAAATAGGATTTTGCTTTTGGAGGGATTAGGGGTCTTCCCAGACTTGTGGGCGTCTTTGCTCAGTTCTGAGTAATTAAGGCCGTAAGAATGGGGGGTAGCAATTTATCTTAATGGTGTAAAATGGTTAATTAGTTTACTGAAATGACTTGCAAGAAATGACTGGCGAAAACTGAGTCATTCAAAAGTTAAAAACCAAGGCCAATATTTTGAATAGAGGATGACACTCTTTACAGTTTCATAACTTTTCGACAGTCATTTTATGCCACGTCAGCATAACTTTTACTTGATTATTCTTACTTCAGCTGACGGCATGCGCTTCAAAATGATTAAGGAGCACCGTCAGACTTTATTAGTCCTCTTTATTTTTAATTTTGAAGACCCTGTCTGTAAACAATTAAAAGACCCCGAAAGTGTTTGGGGGGATGCATGTCTTATTTTTGAAATTTAAATACTTATCTGTTATAATTTAAACAAAACACCGTCCACAATCAAATGAAATGGTGTTTGAATTTCCACAAGTCGGTTTGGATTTTGAACGCCTCGTATTTAGTAATTGGAAGTCAGACCACACTAATGCCTTCCTATCCTTACCCTCATAACCAGCATGCATCGTTCAGCTTCAGTTTACAAATAATCCTTTACAATAACAGAATCAAGATCTAGGTTCATTACTAATTCTTCCTGCATATACCTGACTTCATGCACTATACCAGGCCTCAGGTACGTTGTTAGAAAAATTCTGCTGGGACAGCATGTCAGAATGTTCTGTTATTTCACAAAAGCTAGAGATTAATTACAGGACTATTATTTCACAGCAGGAGGGTAGTGATGTACTCCATCAGCCAATTCTCTACAGCCCCCTCTGGAGAACCGCATCAGTTCAAGTTAGAAGGAAATGATTTTTCCCCTTCGATATTACCTGTAAACACTATTCAGAATTCTTCTCGAACTTACTTATCCCCGTGGGCAAGCGCAATGGGTGGAAGGATGTCTCAGTCCAGAGGAGTTCTTGCCGGGCTGGAATTGCACGTTGGGAGGGGGAAAGCTAACCTCAGGGTGAGAAGCCAGCTTTCCGCTCGGTATGTAAGCTTTCTTCCTGAACTCTTCCTAAATACCATTTTAAGTAAGCTCTTCGCTTGGGAAGTTCTTTATCTCTGGTTTTTGCATTCTCGTTTGTCACAGGGCATCGTGGAGGTCGTGGTCCATGGTGGACTGTGTGTAAGATGAGCTGGGGGTATCAGCAGAGTAAATTTGGAGGAGCCCACAGTACTGGCAGAGGACAAAAGGGCCCCTGCAGGTTTTGAAGAGCTGAATGATGTACTTCCGAAATTTCTGCCCCAGAAAAAAGTAGATGACCGGATTAAGGCAGCAGTGAACAAAAGCCAGAGTTTCTGTGGCCTGAATGGCATAGTTCAGGTGTCTTTCGAAGGCGCAGTCCTGAAGGACTTCGAGCTCCACCAAGGTGTCCAAGAAGAGCACTATGTTGTAAGGCGTCCAGAACCCAAGGAAGAGGACCACCACGGCAAAGATCATCTTCACCGCCTTGTTCTTCTTCTCGTTTTTACAGTGCTGCAGGGTCCTGATGATCATGGAGTAGCAGAACAGCATGATCCCCAAGGGGATCGCCAATCCGAGAATGTTGATCTCCAGGGAGCTGAGAACCTTCCACGTTGTGGAGTTGACAGAGTACTTGGTTTTGCAGTAGGTGTGGTTGCGCTCAGTATAACAAGTGCTAAATATGAGGCCTGGGAGTGAGGCGAGTATGGCCACTGACCACGTGGCCAAGCTGGTGATCACCCCAGAAGTCAAGGTCCTGGCTCTCAAGGAAAACACGGCGTGCACAATTGCCAGGTACCTGTCAATGCTCATGAGCATGATGAAGAATATGCCGCTGTAAAATCCCACCAGGTACATCCAGGAGATAATCTTGCACAGACCCAGTCCGAACACCCACTGGTCGGCAGCATAGTAGGCCCAGAAGGGTAGGGAGAACACGAAGAGCAGGTCAGAGATGGCCAGGTTGAGCAGGTATATGTCAGTCATGGACTTGAGCCGCTTGTACCTCAGTAGGACCAGAACCACCACTGCATTTCCAAGCAGCCCAAACAGAAAGACCAAGAAGTAAAGAGGGGGCAGGAAGAGCTCCCCAAATGCCTTCATGCCTTCTTTGGAGCAAGGCTTGGGGATACTCTCGTAGAGATAATAATTGTTATACACGTTTTCATCCAGGGTGGTGTCTGTTACGTCCGTGGGGTTCATTTTTTAAATCTACAGACTCCTTGGGGCAGGCCTGGGCCCAATCAGCAGAAGCTAAGAAGGGAAGAGATTTATGTAAGAACAAAAACCACAACTGTGCTGAATGCAGAGCCAAAAAACCAAACCAAACCCACTGCTGTCGAGTCAACGCTGACTCATAGTGACCTATAGGACAGAGTAGAACTGCCCCGTAGAGTTTCCAAGGCTGTAAATCTTTACCGAAGCAGACTGCCACATCTTTCTCCCGTGGAGCGGCTGGTGGGTTTGAACCACCAACCTTCCGTAAGCAGCCAAGCGCTTAACCATTGCACCACCAGGGCCCCTTGAATGCAGAACTGAGCTGCTTAGGGTCTATTCCCCGGATCATTATACCTCTTCCCACACTGAAGTCCTCAAATCCTTGAAGGGCAGCACAGCCAAATGAAATAACCCTGGCCTTTGGAGTCAGGCAGATTTGGTTCAAATTCTGAACTTCTGCTACTCACAGGGATATTTTCATACCCCTCTGCTGGGGGTGGAGCCCTGGCGGCACAGTGGTTAAGAGCTCGGCTGCTAACCAAAAAGTCGGCAGTTCAAATCCACCAGCCATTCCTTGGAAACTATGGGGCAGTTGTACTCTGTCCTGTAGGGTTGCTGCGAGTTGGAATCGACTCAACGGCAACAGGTTTTTGGGCTGGGAGCTTCAGTTTTCTCATTTGTAAGGTGAGGGAGAGTAAAACCTCCTTTTCCAGGTGGCTGTGGATGTGTTTCTAAAAAATATTTTGTAGTCTAGGGTGGAGTCCCTGGGTGGTACAGATGGCGGATGTGCTTGGCTGCTAACTGAAAGGCTGCAGGTTCAAGATCACCCAGAGGCACCTCGAAAGAAAGTCCTGGCGATCTACTTCTGAAAAATCAGCGATTGGAAACCCTGTGGAGCACAGTTCTACTCTGACATACATGGGGTCACCATGAGTCAGAAGCTGGCACCAGTACTGGTAGTCTGGGGTCACTGAAGTCACTTGCAAGGAGGACAAGATCAGTTAATATGCCCAACAGTACGGCACCCAGGACCTTTTCCACTTACAAGCCAATTGTGTTGAAACGTGTTAAACCCTTCAGACCGTAACTCCAAAAACTCGGTCATTGCTGACATAGTCCTTAGAATTCTCTAATTCTAATTAGATAGAATTAGAAGGGAGCCAGGCTGGTCACTTGCTTTGATTTAAAAACAAGAATTCCTCCTGCAGGCTTTGCATGGATTGTGCATCTAAATTCTACTCTCGGGCTCCTGTCCCTCTCCCCATCCCCGACAAAAATCTTGTCCCCTGAGCCAAGTTAAGCATAATGGACTTGTGTTGTAGATGAGCCATGAAGGATCAGAGAGGCGAAGTGACTTCCAAAGACCACACAGCTACGTGTAGAATTTGCTCTTCGGACCCCAAGTCTCAGGGATGTGCTAGTAACTCAGATCTCCAACGGGGATGCGAGGGAGAATGTTCCAGGTTGTAGTATTGCCTGGTTTTCGTGGTGTAAATACTCTCACCATGGCCAATTTTAAACTACCCACTGCTGTAAAGTTGATTCCGACTCATAACGACCCCATAGGACAGAGTAGAACTGCCCCATAGGGTTTCTAAGGCTGTAATCTTTACGGAAGCAGACTGCCACATCTTTCTCCCATGGAG